GTCAACGGGAGAAAATTGAAATGCGCCTCTTTTGGACGAAAGACATTATAAACACTCCCAACCACCGAATTACAAGTGGTTTAGACACACTGAACATGAAAATGGTGTCCGTGACCCTTGTTTGTGCCCTGAGGTCATCTTAGGTCACAAATGGTATCTAACAGTTTTTCGCAAATAACTTTTGATAGAGGCATGCTAGAGCGATGAAAACGCCTTATATGTGTTCAGCTCGACGATACGGATCGACTGATATGCAACATGACCCTTTCCGGTCAGGTAATGACCTTGACCTGAGGTCAAATTTTCAAGTTGACCTTTCAAGGTCAAGTTATAGTTCATTCGATGCGTCTTGACGAGAGGAACACGATGCCGGTGAAAGTAAGCTCGTACAAGGCTTGGGTCAAAAGTTATTGTAGAAAAACTGTTTCCGAAAAAATCGGTTATTTTTGTAGTTTTTGCCCCCTGCAGGCAAAACCGTTGACGTTAGGTCCAGGGTTGTGCTTGACTCATGAGTCGAGTCAGAAATTTGACTCAACTCTGACTCAAATGAGTCAGATTTGAGTCGAGTCGGATAAAATGTTGAGCTGTTGAGTTGAGTCAGAGTTGAGTCGGACAAAAATATTAAGGCGTTGAGTTGAGTCAGAGTTGAGTCAGTAAAATAACTTTTGACATTGAGTTGAGTCAAACATTTAGGAACATGAGTCAGCTGACTCAACTTTCTAGAAACAAGCTTTTCATTCCCCCGCCCCGCTTAACAACTTCGCCCTGGCTCTGCTGCCGGATTTTTTACCACCCCCGCCCCCGCTCAGCAACTTTTTTATCTGAGTCAATTTTGAGTCAACTCACTTGACTCAACAAAAAATTTGAGTCAAGTTTGAGTCGACTCATATTTTCATTGAGCCGCTTGAGTCATGAGTCGAGTCAAGGGAAAAATCAGCTCCTTGTTTGAGTCAGAGTTGAGTCAGGGCTTTCTGAAGTTGAATGATGAGTCGAGTCGGCAAATTTTTTTTGAGTCGAGCACAACCCTGGTTAGGTCAAATCTGAGAGAATTGTTCAGAAAGGACGTTAATAGGGCTATCGAATGCACTTTTCCGCGGCGCTGTAGCTCTATTGGTTCCCGAGTTATGTGTTGGCTTCTTGGAAATTTTCGACATTCGACCTGGAAATCGGCGAAATTTTGCCTTCAATGACCTCTGGTGACCTGACCTTTGACCTGACCAAAAAATTGACCGAAGTGATTTCGTCATTATTTTTTACGCTCTTTCGAACGCCGCTTTCCGCGTATCGCTACGTGGCCCAGGAGCTGAGTTACAAGGGGGGTGTTCAAACACCCCCCCCCCCAGCAGGGCGTGGAAATCCAGGACCCCCAGCCGGGCGCGGGTTAACCGAACTACGGTAAAATGCAAAAGCCGATAATATTGCCATTTCTGAAGATATCTGACTGAAACTTTCCAAAAGCAATGCAAATGTTACATACAAAAGCCAATAAGGTTCATTCTGGTCGATGGCTGCTCCCCAAAACTCTGAATGTTATCAACCATATCGGACATTCTTACCATGTTCTGTTGGCTGGATGTCTTTTTGCTTTATTGAATTTGATCAGACTACATTCAGTTAAAGGGACCCTCCCACCTTCAAAGAAGTTTATGACTTGGCATGAAAGTGATGTCGCTTGGTTCAGAAAGAGCGAAAACGAATATCTATCAAATTTCACCGAAAAATATTCACCGGTTTTCAAGATATTAGACTTTTACTTTTGTTTACTTTTTGGGATCTCCGCTGTTCCTAGCGACTTTATTTGGAAGCAATAGTTTGGCAGCTGAAAGTGCGGCATTTGTTGCGCGCAAAGCAGCATATACCACCGCGTGCTACAAAACGTTCTAGTCAAACATTTAAAAATCGTTAGATATCTGCGCTGACGTCACACATTCAGAGGGGTATTCCTATGCATTAGCCCCTCTGAATCAAAATGCTGCAATTTTGAAATTCAATATTTCCGATTTAAGGCATTTCTCGATGTTGTGAGTGCCGAAACCGGTAATTGTGAGCCAGGGACCCCATTTTGGCTATCTCAACTCAAATCTAATGTTAAGGTGGGAGGGTCCCTTTAAGACGACGTACCTACATTTATTGGTCACCAGAAAGTATACCCACAAGTCAATCGACAATCGACAACCAACAACCAACAAATGCAATCGACACGAGCGTCGAGCACCCCTCAGCACAAGCAACTGCCGGGGGCGATTAGACGGACCGCGCTCCTCTCTCGCAGCTGATTGGTCAGCTGCCGAACCGCACGGACGTCAGCTGCGCGGCCGCCGCCCGGCCGACCTGACCGGGGTCGGCCGGGCGGCGACCTAGCGTCACTAGAACTGCAATAACTCTTGCCGGCAGTGTGATGCCGACCTAATTTTTTCAGCAAATGAATCACAATTGTTCGGTATATGTTATGGACGTTGTCTCGATGTGAAGCACGCTGTGCGTTTTTTGGTAGGCCTATGTAAATATTGAAATCCTCAAGCCCTTCTGCTTTGTGCAAGTGTATAACAATTAGCTTACAATAACTGAGTGGGAAGTTTTTTAGATGCACTTTTGTTACCAATGGATTCGGCACATTTTCCCCTTTCAGCTGATATCTTACTTACGCATTTTCAAGCAAAGAATATGACAAGAGACTCGTCAACATTTACATGAAAATCGCAGCACAAGTTCGGTCTCACGGAGCAAAACAAAACGGTGTTCTTTGCAAGGGCGGATCTAGGGGAACGTTTTGGGGGGGGTCACCAGTCGGCCGACATGCCAGGTCTGATGAATGAATTCTGACGACCGGGGGGGGGGGGGGGGGGGGGGGTAGGGAGCGAGTATGTCGAGATCAAATGACATTTGATCTTCGTCGTTTCTGAGTTGAAGTTTTATCGTAAGTCACTCGGCTCAGTAGTTTTAGTTAGTGAAACCCACCTATAGAGGAGCGTCGCCACGGATTTTTTTACTGGGGGGGGGGGGGGGCGGATCGACCGACTTAAAAACCCAGAAGTAGTAGATATAGTTACCTCACTTATGCATTAGTCTAATGCCCAATGCATTAGTAGCATACAGTCACGATCTCTCTTATTGACCTGTGTATGAATCGGCGGCGCGAAGCGCCGCAAAAATTTGAAAAAAGTTGTCAAAACACAGCTCTAAAACACAAATATTACAACCCTTTTAGCATGCTAGTACAAGCCGGAGTTCCTTCACAGTGCACATATGAATTCCGATTCAATTTGACACGGTTGGTGTTATTACAGTCACGATCTCTCTTATTGATTGGTGTATAAATCGGCGGCGCGAAGCGCCGAGAACATTTGCAAAAGAATGTGTCAAAACACAGCTCCGCTCCAAAACACAAATTTTACCACCCTTTTAGCATGGCAGTACAAGCCGGAGTTTCTTCACAGTACACATATGAATTCTGATTCAATTTGACACGGTTGGTTTATGTAATTACAGTCACGATTTCATATTGACCTGTACGTATGTACATGAATCGGCGGCGCGAAGCGCCGCGAAAAATTTGCAAAAACATTTGTCAAAACACAGAGGGGGTCTCCTCTCTACAGAGGACCACCGATCTCTACTGCGGGCCTCCTCTTTTCACAGGGCCTCTTAACTACAGAAGGCTTCCTCTCTACAGAGGGCTTCCTCTCTACTGAGGGTCTCTCCCTTTCAGAGGGCCTCCTTTACAGAGGACCTCCTCTCTTCAAAGAGCCAGAGGACCTCATCTCTGCAAAGGGCTTCCTCTCTTCAGAGGGCCTCTTCTCTACAGAGAGCCTCCTTTCTTCAGAGGGCCTTCTCTCTACAGCGGGTCTCCTCTCTTCAGAGGGCCTTCTGCATTCAGGCGGTCTCCTTTCCACAGAGGGTCTCCTCTACAGAGGGCCTCCTACCTACTGAGGAGTCAGAGGGGCCGACACAGACACTAGCGGTTATTCACTGGAGGCCCCAGGAAGTAAGAAGGGCCCTAGCTGTCAGGCTGGTCAGAGTGCCCTGAATGTCCTGACGTGATTTTTGGGATTCCCGTGAATTTCTTTCGCCTCCGACGTGATTTTGACCTGCCAGGGCCCAGGGGCACTAAAAATAAAACAAACAAAATAAAAAAATGGAAATAGGACATCACCAAAATTAAGTGGCCGAAATCCGTTGAGTTTTTAATTTTGCGTATAGGTAGGGGCACCACGAATTAAATTCATGACCATCCCCTTGGAGTTTTCCTGGATCATCCCCTGGTGCTCGCACGGTTGAGACAAAAATGAGTAAGATTCTGGCCTTCAATACGCCTTTTCACGCAACACGATCCAGAAAAACAAAGGTATTAGCTCAGAAGTGTTTGACATGTGATTTTGAGCATGCAAGACGGCGTCTATAGCGCATTTAGGTCTTCGGCTTTTGGGGGGGGTCAAATGACCCTCTCAGACCTTTTGGGGGGGGTCATGACCCCGTGGACCCCCCCCAGGATCCGCCACTGGTTCTTTGGGAGCCCACCAATCTGTGCCAGAATGAGTAATATTTTTTCTGGGTGATATTTCATACAGTCTGATCAATTTACGACCAGAAAATGTGAGAAAAGCACGCTTTAAAATTTGTCGAAAATTAGGGTATTGGCCACTTCTGAACCCGGATAGCGGCTGTGTGCGGCCGCGTGGTGAGCCTGCAATAACCGGCGCCCAGTGACCGGTCCGGTGGCGCCCAGTGACCGGTCTGGTGGCGCCCAGTGACCGGTCCGGTGGCGCCCAGTGAACGGTCCGGCGACCACTCCGGGGTGGCGGATTCCTGCGTCCGAATTTTGGTGTCACAGCACCAACTAATCCGGCACAAGGCAAACTAACGGCCCCCCGCAGATTAACAGGTCACGACACCGGCTCAGCAGCCGCGACCGGTTCAGGAATTACAACAGTGCACTGTGCAGCATCGCAGCTAATCGGAACGTACGGATTACTCGCGCATCAGGTAAAAACAAAACGGACTGATCGTGCGCACAACTTGTGTATTTTGTTCCCGGCCTCACAAAAACGCCACTGGGTGCTAAACAACTTGTAGGTCTAGGTCTCCAGAAGGCAGTGAAGCGCGTATTCCGAACAGATGCCAAAGCGGTGCAAACAACACGGCTTACTCGGTGGGTATATCAACTCGAAAACAGGCCACTTGCACCAACTGACATTGGCCCGAAAATGGCTAAAAACAAACGACATATAGCAGGTATGTAAGCGAGAAACTACACAGAACATTAACTAAAACACATGCTCAAACAACCCTTAGAGCCCTGGCGGACTGGCAGGGGGGGGGGGGCTGCATACGGACCAGACAGGCCAGCGGCGGAGAGCAAACCACGCTGTACTCAGGTGCGCTCGCATGCAAGATGGAATTCAGGCAGCGACCTCCGACATCTGTGAGCCCGAGCGTTTAGCTGACCTGACCTGAGGCCGTCTGACTTGGCCAGCCAGCTCCGGCCGGCCGGCAGTCCCTGGCCGCACCAGGCCCGCCGCAGACGGCTCTAGTCCTGCTCTCCGTCGCGGCCGGACCAGGCCCGCCGCAGACGGCTCTATTCCTGCTCGCCGTTGCCGCCGGACCAGGCCCGCCGCAGACGGCTCTAGTCCTGCTCGCCGTCGCCGCCGGTGGCGCCGGCGCGGCTGCGGATGTGGTCGATGTAGTAGGGCGCCTTGAAGGCGATCTGTCCGTCGGCGGCGGCGCAGTCGCAGACGGGGGCGCCGCGGCCGTCCGCCGGCCAGGTGAGCCGGCAGCGCCGGCCGCCGGCTCTGTACGAGCGGCACGTCAGCTGGATCTGGTAGGCGAGCAGCGACTGCACGGCGCTGCCGCTCGGCTGGTGGTACTGACTCAGCAGCGACTCGGGGCTGTTGGGCGCCACCGTCGGGTAGGCGTCCAGGCCCAGGCAGCTGGCCGCCGATGCCGACTCACAGCGGCACTGCGTCGTGCCCGACAGGCTGATGCGCTCGAACGAGGGGTCCGGCTCGCGGTAGATGAGGGCGCACAGCCGGGAGGGGACGGTGTCGGCGGCGGCGGCGGCGGCGGCCAGCACGACGGTCAGCAGCGGCAGCGGAGACATAGCGCGCGCCCGGCGGTCGGAGCTCGACTGGCTGCCGGCAGCGCCCGGCGGTCGGGGCTCGACTGGCTGCCGGCGGCGCCCGGCCGGCCGCATATCTACCGGCGCGGCGGCGGCCCCGGGGGCTCACCCGACCCGCACCGGGCCGACTGACCCCTCCCCCCCCCCTCCTGACAGCCTGGCAGACCTCTGCGTGGTAACCTGCACAGGCTGGACCGTCTGACCCGCACCTGATAGTCTGACTCGTGCTTGACATCCTGACATTTAGCATGCGTTCGGCATCCGGAAAATGAGGGATAATTATCTGGAATCACTGGTAAGCATTTGGTATTGCAGGGACCATTGATGCAATTAGTCACATTTTTATATTGATTTTGCTTCACGGATGGCTCTTTTACTCGTTGTCCTGTCCGTTGTGCACCGAATGATCCCGGTGATCCCGGAAAATTATTCCTGATTATCCGGATGCCGAACGCACGCTTTGAATAGTCTGATCTCTGATCTCGGACAGTTTTGCGTCATTTTGCGTGTGTTCGGCATCCGGAAAATGGTATCCTTTGGATAATCTCGGTCGGAAAATTATTGGTGACAACCTTCGCTCGGTATGCCTCGTTTAGGGGAAATTCATCCTCGGGATAATATCCCTCACTTGAGCGTTCGGCATCACGGATGTCATCCCTGGACGGTCACAGTGATTTGACTTACTTTTGATTTTCAAGCTTGCAAACACCTTTGGCTATTTATGATATTGCATGACACACAACATGTTATCACATCTTACAATTTATACTTAAAAATCAAAAGCCAGAACCATTTGATCACCACTATCAAAAATACCTCCCACCTCTAACACGGAAAACAGCCAGGCGCCCCAGGTCCGCAGATTCTTCCCTAGGAAGGAATAATCACCGGTGATATACCGCACGTGATCCCCGATAATTATCGCTGATTTCGGATAATTCCCCCTGATTTTCCGCATGCCGAACGCACGCTTTGTCTCACCCACCCGTCAGGTTTATTACGCCGCATTTAGTGAGCCCTCGCCGATAATTATCGCTGATTTCGGATAATTCCCCCTGATTTTCCGCATGCCGAACGCACGCTTTGTCTCACCCACCCGTCAGGTTTATTACGCCGCATTTAGTGAGCCCTCGCCGGACCTGTCAGGCGTTTTATACGCGCCACGGCAGAGGGGGAGAGGGGGAGAGGAGGGCGGTGAAAACCCCTTACCGTCTCGCCCCCTATGAGTATGTACGGCATCCCAAGACAAATGCTCATTTATTATCATCGAAAGACAGTTCACGAAGTTATGAGCCTACGTGCGAAGTTAGGAGCAAAAACGTCTTTTTTTAAAATGCATTTTTTGAAAAATACACACGACAAAACGAACTGAGAAGGACCACAGCGTGTGCAATGAAACGGTCGTGCCAGACATGCTTCAACCTTTGCATACTACCGCAAAATGTTTATTCTGGGGGAAGATCTGTATTTTTCACGAAGTTACCTGCCCTCACCCTACACTATATGTAGATCTTTTCAAGGAAATTGTGTTTTTCTTTTAAGAAATGAAAAAAATAAATAAAAAATATTGTCTGAACACAAATTCACCAGGCTTCAATGCAGTGGCGGCGGAAGGTAATTTTGGATGGGGGTGCAAATTTTTATCAAGGGGCCCCTCTGGAAGTTTTGGGCCCCCTTCAGTTTTTTTAACCCGCGCCCAGCTGGGGGTCCTGGATTTCCACGCCCTGCTGGGGGGGGGGGGTGTTTGAACACCCCCCCTTCTAACTCGGCTCCTGGGCCACGTAGCGATACGCGGAAGGCGGTGTTCGAAAGAGCGTCAAAAATAATGACGAAATCACTTCGGTCAATTTTTTGGTCAGGTCAAAGGTCAGGTCACCAGAGGTCATTGAAGGCAAAATTTCGCCGATTTCCAGGTCGAATGTCGACAATTTCCAAGAAGCCAACGCATAACTCGGGAACCAATAGAGCTACAGCGCCGCAGAAAAGCGCATTCGATAGCCCTATTAACGCCCTTTCTGAGTAATTCTCTCAGATTTGATCTAACGTCAACGGTTTTGCCTGCAGGGGGCAAAAACTGCAAAAATAGCCGATTTTTTCGGAAACAGTTTTTCTGCAATAACTTTTGACCCAAGCCTTGTACGAGCTTACTTTTACCGGCATCGTGTTCCTCTCGTCAAGACACATCGAATGAACTATAACTTGACCTTGAAAGGTCAACTTGAAAATTTGACCTCAGGTCAAGGTCATGACCTGACCGGAAAGGGTCATGTTGCATATCAGTCGATCCGTATCGTCGAGCTGAACACATCTAAGGCGTTTTCATCGCTCTAGCATGCCTCTATCAAAAGTTATTTGCGAAAAACTGTTAGATACCATTCGTGACCTAAGATGACCTCAGGGCATAAACAGGGGTCACGGACACCATTTCCATGTTCAGTGTGTCTAAACCACTTGTAATTCAGTGTTTGGGAGTGTTTAGAATGTCTTTCGTCGAAAAGAGGCGCATTTCAATTTTCTCCCATTGACTTATAATGGGGAGGTCGCAAAATTGACCTGACCTTAGGTCATCGATATCAAAATTCTGAGATATACATTTTGTACATGCTATTGCTCTTAGCAATCGCTGAAAGTTTTAAAGCGATCGGTCACTCGGTGTAGCTATGACAGACATTGAAACTGTTTATGAGGTGAGGTCACTTCAAGTGACCTGGTGACCTGACCTTGAATGACCTTGGTCTGAAATTTTCACAACATGTGTAGAATTGATGTATGATAAGGTGTACCAAAAACGGCGGCGCTCCGCGCCGCCGTTTTTGAGATATTCGCGAAAAACCACAAGGGGGGTGTTCAAACACCCCCCCCCCAGCAGGGCGCGGGTTTATATATTCCCGACCGGGGCTGGGAAAATGCGTTTTATTCACCGAGGTTTTTGTGCGGAGGACCGAGTGCCGGTAGGCACGAGGTCCGTAGCAAAAAACCGAGGTGAATAAAACTGCATTTTCACAGCCCAAGGTTGGGAAGAGATTTACCACATGCCGTACCGGCGCAACAGTTAATATCATATTCATTTGATATTTTACACTTTAATCTTAATATTGTGTTAATATTATATTAGTACTATGTTCATATTTATAGTCACCGTGATTATTTTTTGTGTTTTTCATTATTGGGCTGCGTTGAGCATGAAAGCTGAAATTCCTACTTCCCCCTTATTTAGGGTTTGAAAAAGCTGAGGATGAAGATGGTGAAGCGCCAGAAGTTAGAATAAAGATATGGAGTCCAGCAGGAGTGAGGAAACCGTGAGGAAAACTGAAAATTGGGTGAAACGCTGAATCAAACGCGTCTTGGATCCCAGCTGGAACAATATCAAATGTTTCATTGTGGCGTTAAATTGTTCGTTTTTTGCGTGCATTATGTAGAAATAATGATTATTCCGACCATGCTCTGCAGCAATAAATACATTGGCATTGGAACGATAACCTTGTTTAGTTGAATTACGTTGACGGCAAAAGTAAGTAAATACGCAGTCACTTACTTTTGCTGTTGCTGTTAGTGAACACACAATCCGTAAATATCTTCCTTGAAATTGGTTCTTCCGCTCAGAATATTCAGTAAAATTTTGTCTGGGAAAATCAAAAAGCCCTAGGGCCGAATCGTTTCCCAAATACCTTCAACATTAGCCGAGGCGGGCCGAAGCCATTTCCCAAATGCACGTGCTAATGTTAAAGGGATATCTCGGCATGTGGTAAAACCCTCGCCGGACCTATTGGTTTTCTACATACGCGCCGGCCGAGGGGGGGCGGGTACGACCCCCCCCTCGCCGTTTCGCCCCTGGTGGAGCTAGCGCGTCGCGGAAAAAACGAGCGTGTGCGCTGTTACGAGACGCAGAGGTTGGTACCCGATTTTAAGGTCCTAGGTCAACCGGTGACCTCTGAGGTCAGGTCAAGTGCCCCAAGGTACGGTTCAGTTTTTGGTGAATAACTTCGCAAAAAACGGCCGCAGAGCGCCGATTTTGGCAGCATCGTGTTCGCCTTGCCCAGGCGCGTCGAATGATATACTTTTTGTCCGGGTCAGGTCAACTTGGGGTGTTGACCTCAGGTCAAGGTCAGGTCAGCACCCCAAGGTCATGAAGTTGGTCGAAAGAGGTCATGTCGCATATCATTCGATTCGGCAGGCCTTCCTGAGTCCATTGGTGGCTTTCCCGACTCGCTAGCTCAATTTGATCAAGAGTTATTGACGAAAAACTAATATGACCTTGATGACGTCATAAATGACGTCACTCAAGGTCAACATTGCAAAAGTGACGCATCTAACCTTGCAAGGAGTGCATCAAATCACGATTCTGTGTGCTTAAGATAGTTGGAGATCGTTCCCGGCGCCAGAATAGCAGTTTTCATTTTTCCCCATTGACTTATAATGGTGAGGTCACGAAAATGACCTGACCTCATATGACCTTTAGGAAAAATCCGAGATATACAAGTTGTGGGACTCATAATGGATACTAGATCCTGCAAGTTTCATTTCCCTGTGACATCTCCTCTGGCAGTGAGGGCGTTGCGAAGTTGCGACATATGAAGACCGTGCAGAGGTTCACTTATGACGTCATAGGTCAGTGACCTGACCTGACCCAAAAATGCGGTTGGTGTCAAAAGATGCGGCTTGGATCAAAGGTCAGGTATGCCAAGTTTCAGCTCTCTATCGCCAGCGTGTTCGGAGCTATCGCGAAAAAACCCTATGGGGGGGCGGCACCCGCCCCCCCCCCCCCTCGGCCGGCGAGGGTTAAGTGATTATTATTGATTTATGAAAAACGAAAATTTTGGAAAACTATCCCCATACACACAAGTTCTGTAAAAGGTTTGAAACTGCAGTGTACCTACCTGTCTCAAATAATGAAAGCATAAAGAAGCAAATACAGCTAGTTTTTTATCAGTTAATCTTTTAGTCTAGCCACCACCCGCAGCGTCTCAAACCACTTTTCTGGATCCGCAGTGGACCATTGAGGGCCCTACAAGACCGTTCCAAGAAGACCGTGTTTAGAAGCCCCTTGGAAACCGACCACATAGAGACTCCTCCAGAGGAGTCTCTATCCCTTACCCGCCCTCCTAGGGTAAGGGCGGGTAAGAGGACGCGGGCGATAAGAGTACGCATCAGCTGTTTCGGTTACTTAGCAACGCGGGTTTGT